TTAATTGAATCATATGGCTTAAAGCTCTGCAGGCGCCGTTTATCTCCTACACAATTTAAAGCTTAATTTTGGGGAAGCTGGCGAAGCGTAAACGCGTTTGCGGCTACCTGATACCTAAACTGTTACGCCACATACTTTCTACCAACCCCAAAGATAAATTATACTATTTCACGATCGCACATGAGAATTCCTGCGTATTATTTATTAACTATTTGCATTCTCCGGGATTTTATTTAGAAAATATATCCCTTTTTTTGGTAACTGGCGGTTTTCCTGGAAAGGTTCCATTCAGCTAAGCGTAATAATTTACAATAAATTTCCTCCTACAATTTAATGATGGAACGCTGCGAACAATGTACATAATATAACGGTGTGGCTGTATTCTTTCTCTTCAACCTTAATAAGGATAAAAGATGGGTCGTATATACGAAATGTCAGAGGTTATAACGTATTTTAAGGTTCTTCACAAAATGAATTTATGAATGCAAATTATGGGCCTGTTGTTATACCTATAATAAATACATGATAGAAACGAAAGTGTACTTACCTGCCCCATTATTTACTAAGGAGAGGAGAGAAATTGGCTTTTAAATTTCTCATGTAAACAACCAGAGGGATTTGATCATACAGTAAGATAAACGGGTACCTGTCGCAAACCTCTGCTCCAAGTCTATAATACCTACGATTTTTTGCACTGGGCCATAAATCCTGATGTCTAATGTGATTTTTTATATTACCTTTACTTCATTACTTACTGATTTCTATCGGTTTACGAGATATGGCTTCATTGTTCCAAACGGCTTTAAATAAATTGAACAATAGCAAAAACAATATTTACATACCGTATACCCATTGGTAGATTTAGTATAGTCGATCCGTTATTAGTATTCCGATATGTAATTACCCCCACTAAATGCAGAGTTAACTTTTTTTACCTCACGTCGTCGATTAAACGTAAACAATTCTATTAAACAAACTGCATCGCTTTATTGTTGACGTGCAGAATAAGAATGAACAAAATACGGTACCGCAACGGTTAAGCGATTCTAGGTCGTATCGCCTACGTCAAAAAATTTTAATTAAGGTGAATTTTGCTTGCATCCAGTTTTGTTTACAGTAATTTGTTTACGCCTACCTGATGCAATTGAACTGCAGTTCTAAAAATTTTATCGAATCGGATGCTTAATGCCTGAGCCCGATACAAATTCATCCGATTCGATAAAATTTTTAGAACTGCAGTTCAATTGCATCTGGTAGGCGTAAACAACATTACTGTAAACAAAACTGGATACAAGCGAAATTGCCCCTCGCACACCTTGAGCAAAAGCCGTACGCCGTTCATTCCAGGTTAACCTTTCGTTACGCCACTCTATAATCGTGAATCTTTATGGGGTGGAGTTAGGGGCAAACAATTGTCAATTATAGGATCTAAACCCAAACGAACGTACGTCGGTATGTAGAATATTTTAGTATAAGTAAATCTCTCCGGGAAACCAACCTCTCCATATGTCACAAATTTCTCTGGTTCACGAAACGCGGTCCGGAAAAGCGGGATGGGTGATAATTTTTACGTTGTCGAACAGGAGGCATTATTTTACACTATGTGACGTTATTTTTTTACATAATGTATATTACCCTTTACAACATCTGTGTATTTCTCATCTCAGTTCGTTATAGTTAGTTTTATTGGTGGTTTCTGTAGTTATATAACTTGCCTTTCTTTGATTTTCTTTGAGATATAACGGTAGGATTAGGTTGGCGCTTTATCCGTTTCAGAGGTGATAAACGATACGATATTTATTTATTTATTTATTTATTTATTTATTTATTTATTTATTTATTTATTTATTTATTTATTTATTTATTTATTTATTTATTTATTTATTTATTTAATTATTTATTTATTTATTTATTTATTTATTTATTTATTTATTTATTTATTTATTTATTTATTTATTTATTTATTTATTTATTTATTTATTATCTCTCTTGTTCTGGGCCCTCAACAGGCTTGCGCCCAATTACAGAGTGACCCGCATAATGCTTTTTAGAGGTGCATCTACAGAAGGTTGTTCTATACTACTCCGGTATTTACCTTACAAATTAGGAAAACTGCAGGAAAACCAAATTCGGAGTAGCCGGCAGAATGCTCGAAGCTGGTCTAAGATAATTCCCATCTCCGCCACAGGTGAAAAATTCACCTCAACCCAGGTTCGAACACCCGACCTCCGGATTTATAGTCCAACGCTCTACCACTGAACCATAAAGCCGGTTAGTTATCTCGATTCTTATCTAATCCCCCAGTGCCCATATGGCAAGTGAAATCGAGGATGATTTAAATGGCTGCTCTTCAAGATGTCCGTTATCTTAAGAACGAACAGGCACAGCTCTGAATTGCGATGATAATTTGCAAAGGAATGCCCTTGCAGTTGGTATACCCTCGAACTGGGACTGGTATTTTTCAGCAACGGTACCCAAAAACCTTCTCTAATCCACGAGAGAGTCCCAAAAAAATGATTACTTAACGATGGTGAATTAAATAATTGATGTCGGTCCATCCGTAAAAGTTACCTGTGAAAATCCCAAATTATACAGGCTGATTCAGAATATAAATGATAAATGATACAGAACGAACGAAGGCAGATGTGACGTAATCCTACCGGGAAAAATGACGAGTATATTCTAGAACATTCCGAATCGTTCTAAGAACATTCTAGAACAATTGTCGTTTACTATACATGCTGATCCAAGTTAGAGGTTAAATTTTGCAAAGTTGCGTATTTTGATGCTTATCAAAATGCAGTTTTGAAATTGAAAAAAAGTTTGGAGATATCCGGAAAAAATGTTGCTTTACTGAAGTTATTTAATAAAATTTTTTTAAATAAATGACGAATTATTATGGCCTCTTGTTTCCCTTTACAAGATGCTATTTTTAAATTTTAAGTTCGACGTTTCGTCTCTAGTCAACCATCATCAACTTTGTTTTTCTTATAGAAGTAATTTTTACAGTGTTGCCTAGACCTTTGCGTGTCTTCCAATTCACAAAAAAAAATATATATATAATGTCGTCTAGTACTTTCCTTCATTAACATTTCATTGTAAGGAACGCCATTCGATTCCTTTCATCTGAAATGAAACATTCCCAATCGATTGTAACTGTAGCGGAAAAGTTCCATTTTATTGTACACTGGACAAAGACTCAAATCACACTTCTATAGCTCTGTATGGTACGAGGTGCACCTATTATCATTTTTCTGTTCGAAAAGAGGTCGATCTTTTGTTATAGGTTATTACAGATTAACTGTATTCGAGTTCTTTTGTTTTCAATACAATTCTGCTAAGATAAAGGCGTCTAATTTTATTCGCCTGTTTTCTCCTAACAGTACAATGCAGACTTTCCGATTCGCATAAAGCGTCTGTAATAAAAATCTACCAATGGGTTTTACTGTTATGTTTCCGTATTGCAGTTTGGTTGAAGTTCAGTAACAACGATTTATTTAAAATAATAGTTTTACAAATTACATAGCTTTGCATAGATGTAGTATGTATACCTACTCATACATATTTAAGGATGTTATTCTCACAAACATTATTAAGCGGCAGAATAAAGCGATTCATTTATAGAGAAGTCGATGATGTCCGTCTGTCCGTCCGTGAACAAATGAATAACTGTCAAACGCTTCGACCGATGTGGTTCAAACTTTGCACAGTTGACCTACATGCCACAAGTAGGTAATAAGCCTATTGAAAATGGGTCAAATCCAATGACCACGTGGGGTCGCGCGTCTCTGTCCGTGCCAAACGCATGACCCTATTTGGTTGAAACTTTGCACAGTAGACTTATATGCCACATGTAACAAGTCTATTGAAAATTAATTTTATCTCTCATTGTATTCTAATTGAAAGTCTCATCGAAAGGAACCGTTTTCTACCAACCATAGCCCTCCTCTTCGACCTCTTATCGTGATCGGGTATATTCCCTTATACCTCAAGAACGGATTGTCGGAAGAGGGTACTCAGAAAGGGCGATTGAGACGTCTGCAAGACATATATCCACTGGTGATGTCAAAACAAAAGCTATTTCGGTTAAACAAAATACGCTTTTTTCTACTACTACTGTTTAATATCACCATTAAACAGGAAAGGGCGCTGGCCAAATATTAGAGAAATAGTTAATTGGGAAAGAAAGTAGGATTAAGAAATAAAATTACATTGCATTATTTGTAAATGAGGACAATTTGCACACAACATTGACTAGGTTAGTTTTCAATTTGCAATTAACAGATTGCAATTAATTTGCCAATTGTTGTATAAAATTTTGTATATAAACAATGTAAAATGTAGAATAAATTACTATTGACACAAAAGTCGTTTAGTCACTCTACGTGAGCACGGGGCTTCCAAGTCTTTAAAATTCGGTGCATGAGACTGTGTACCACCCTGTGCTTACACTAAATAATATTGGGAGTAATCTCAATATTGTTCATGGTCCTTCGAGCCAACACCAGCGGCAGAAAATAAAAAGGTCCGTCAAGCCACCACCAGCGGCAGCAAAACCACTATTAGCAGTCAAGGATTTACGACCCTTGGACTTGAGCGAGAGGCACTGGGTAAGTGGAATTTTATTTTGACTAAAAAAAGTCAAGGGAAGCGGCGAAAAACAAAAGGATCCTACCTACTAACAAAAAGGCGATCAAGAGTCGCGTCGCTGATGCAGAAGAACGCCGGCGACAACAACTGGAGACTGATTCCTGTAGCAGGAAGGAGCAAACCATACAGCTTCAGTCCAACGTTAAGAGTCCGGGGGGACCCACGGATATCTGCGTGCGACAAACACAACGTTGCATTACAGAACAAGTTTTTGGAATTATTCGGGCCAGAACCAAATTTTCAGCATCCGACACAACAACTACTACTAAAAAAAAAAAAAAAGGGGAAAAACGGTTCTGAAGTAAGAGGGGGTGTTGGTTTGGATTCTGTTTTAGCTACCAGAAGTTCAAATGGAGCAATTAAACGAACTCGCACGGAAACAACAGGAGATTGGTCAACAAATGTGTAAAATGTTAGCCAATATGAAGAAAGACTCAGCCTCCAGGAAAACCAGCGAATATATTGTGAAACATGACCGACAGCTAGAAGCTTATCAGGAAGGTATCGAAAAAAATCATAACGAAATTATCGAATTACAGATACAAAATCATGAGTATCACAGTACAAAGTACAGAGATCAGCTGCAAAAGGTCTACGACAACACGATAAATTATCTACAACAGTTACAGAATCAGCAGAAGAAGGAAGAGGATATTGAAGAAATGGATAACGAACAGGAGCTCCGAATAAAAAAACAGGAGGTTCGTCTAAAACAATTTAGAGGGATATTGTTTCAAATGGAAGAGGAAATAATGGAGCAGAACTTAAGACGCTGCGAAACATTGTACACCAAAGCAGAGAAGAAGTGGGAAGTAATATCAGAGCTTGAAGTGGACATTCAAGCAAACGAGGTGAGCTTCTCTCATGAGTATTTTAGAAAGGATCCAGTCACGAAAATGGAATTCGAATACGATAACATACAAGAAAAATTAAAAATGCTCACCAAAAAGGCAAGTATAAAGGCGACAAACAACATCGAGCTGCCCAAAATAAAAATACCAACGTTCCGAAGTGGATATGACAATTGGGCTCCCTTCCACGATTTGTTCGAGAAATTAATACATTCCAACGAGAAGTTATCGAACGCGGAGAAGATGCACTATCTGAAGGGGCATGTGGACGGAGAAGCAGCAAGACTTATACAGCATCTAATGATCTCGGAACAAAATTACGTAACAGCATGGAAGATCCTTCAAAACAGGTATAATAACAAAAGATTAATGGTAAATACGTTATTAGATAGAATCCTGGAATTCTCGAAAATGGAAACAGCGAAGGCATCTCGATTGAAATGGCTTCACGATACCATACATGAGTGTCTGGAGACAATATCAAATCTGGGAATGGATACATCGTCATGGGGTCCAATGGTAATTAGAATCACCACAAAGAAATGGGACTCAGAAACCAACAGGCTATTTGAGCAGTCACTAAAACAACCAAATGAAATCCCAGCATTAGGAGAAGTGATGCAGTTCATGCAGACGAGGTTCCAGTCCTTGGAGGCATCGGGGTCAATGCAGAGCAAGGATGCGAGTCCTAGGTACACCTGGGGAAACACGTCCACCATATCATGCCATTACTGCCAACAGGAGCATCGACTTGAACAATGCCTTAAGTTCAAGGGGCTATCAATCAACGACAGAAACAAGGAAGTAAGAGAAAGAAAAATATGTTTTAGGTGTTTAAAACACAACAGCGAGGAAAAATGCTACTCAGCGTACAGGTGTGCAGAATGCGGTTATCCACATCACACTTTACTTCACCAACCGTACAAACCAATAGCAGAGCGGGCAACACAAGCAAGCACAAGAACATCACACACTACAGTATCTAAAAGGAATTGTCAAACCCAAAAGGAAAACCAGGAAGTACTACTAGCAACAGCGATAGTACAAGCACAAGACCTCACTGGCGTACAGCAATTATTAAGAGTACTAGTGGACCCTGGATCACAAGCCTCGTTCATCACAGAAAAGGCAGCACAGCAGTTGAAGCTACCACGACAAAAAGCGAATGCAAGGGTATCAGGAATAGGTGGTTATGATCACACTAACGCAAAAACCAAGATAACGGTTCAATTACATCCAAGACAACCAAGTGAGTATGAGTTAACAACAGAACTAATCATTCTCACAAAGATAACCGAAAATCTACCACTGGCGTCGTTTGAGATGAACAAAGATCCATGGAAGAATGTGCTGTTAGCTGATCCCACGCTGAATAACTCCGGACCAATTGACATACTACTGGGTGCCGAGGAATACGCAAAGATCATACTACCGGGAGTCATGAAAGAAGGAAAATTAGTGGGTCAACAAACCGAATTTGGGTGGGTGATATCCGGGCAAACAAAGCACGGTGTCAACCAAGGCTATCAAATACTGGGCATGGTATCAACAATGGAAGAAGAGACACAACTATCCAAATACTGGGAAATAGAAGAAGCGACCATGGCTAATGGGTTCAATGAAGAAGACAAGAAGTGCGAAGACCACTATAAGGCAAACACTACACGCAGCCCCGATGGAAGATACACAGTCAAGATTCCATTCAAGAAGAATTCGATCAAATGGGGGCGATCCAGACCACTAGCAATAGCCAGGTTGTTGCAACTGGAGAAAAAACTAGCAGCAAACGACAAGATGCGTGAAGAATACAACGCGTTTCTACAAGAATACCTGGATTTGGGTCACATGGAAATGGTACAGGCACACTCAATCGAGGGCACACGCTATTACATACCACACCAACCAGTGATAAAGGAATCCAGTACTACAACGAAGATGAGAGTGGTGTTTGATGCATCAGCCAAAACGACGACCAGCGGAAGTTTAAATGAGATGATGTATGTGGGACCGAGGTTGCAGCCAGACATAGCCGATATATTACTAAGATGGAGAAAACATCAATATGCGTTCACAGCAGATATTAAAAAGATGTACCGCCAAATAAGGATACATCAAGACGATCGCCAGTTCCAGACTATAGTATGGAGATTCGAACGTAATCAGCCGATACGCGAATACCAGCTCAACACAGTAACATATGGAACAGCGGCAGCTCCATACTTAGCCATAAAGACACTACAACAGTTAGCAGAAGACGAAAAAGAAGAGTATCCATACGCAGCACGAGTCACGCTACAAGACTTCTATGTGGACGACATTTTATCTGGTGCTAACAGCATACCTCAAGTAGTACAATTGCAAAAAGAATTAACCAATATGCTAAAAAAAGGAGGGTTCCAGCTACATAAATGGGCAGCCAATAAAGAAGAGATATTAACCACTATTCCCATGGAAGCTAGAGATCCTGCTGTAGCCGAGTTCAACAATGACGACCAGATCAAATCGTTGGGAATAAGATGGATACCAAACCAAGACATCTTTACGTTCAAATTCAAGGATGGCCAAGATAAACCAACCAAACGGAACATTTTGTCGGAAGTGGCCAAGATATTCGACCCTTTGGGTTGGCTGTCACCAATACTCCTAAATGCAAAATTACTCATACAAAGACTCTGGCTATCCAATACAGGCTGGGACGAAGAGGTGGTGGAATCAATCAAGATAGAATGGACAAACTTCAAAATCGATCTCAGTATGGTGGAATACTTACGGATACCTAGATGGATGCAGTACGATCAAGACCAAGAAAAAATAGAACTTCATGGGTTCTGTGATGCATCAGAAAAAGCGTATGGAGCAGTGGTGTACTCAAAAACAGGAAA